GGGTAGTTGAGTAGAATGCACTTTGGGGTTGGTGTGGGCTCAATGGGTTGAATGGCCTGCTCCCACACTGTAGAGATGCTATGATATTTCCAAACCAATGCTTTGGAGATGCTCCCATTCTTCTAACCAAGGTGCTGATCAGCAGTTTTGAGTATGGTAGACTTTAAGAGTTGGAGCAGTGGATTGACAGGCTGCTTATAGCAGAATGGCAGTGTCCCTACCCCTTAGCCTGCAGTTCAAATTTTTTCAAGAAGATTTGTAGCTCGGGTTGTGGATGAGGTTGTAGACATGCTCACCAAGCTGGTGGGTGTTGATTGCCAAACGTTTTGTCACCCTGCTAGGTAACATCGTCAGTGCGCCTCCAGTGAAGCATCGGTGTTCTGTCCTGCTTGTATTTATATGCCTCGGCCTGCTGGGGTGGTTGGTATTATTTCTGGTTCTGTTTCTCAGTGGTTTGTTCACAGGGTCTAATTCAATGTGTTTGTTGATGGAGTTCCGGTTGGAATACCAGGCCTCCAGGAATTTCCTGGCGTGTCTCTGTTTGGCTTGTGTGATTATAAATGTGTTGTCCCAGTTGAATTCGTGTCCCTCGTTGTCCGCGTGCAGCGAGACAACACCGACACTTCACCAGAAGTGCACTGTTGATGTTACCTAGCAGGATGACGAAGCGTTTGCAACCAAACCTACCGGCTTGGAGAGCATGTCTACAACCTCACGCCGTTCAAATCCCACAAAGGTGTGCCATAACCTGCTTGCACAGATTTTTTTATTTCAAAAATATACTTCATTCATAAAAAAATCTTTGTATATATACATTGCCACAAAAGCAGTCTCGTTATGTACAACTACATATCAAGTAAATAAACAAAACATTGGACATTGACTCTATCCAAGAAATAAAAGACCTCTCTTACACGCACAGTACTAATATTTACATGTACTGGAGGCGCTAGGAAGGTCTGATAACTGCTCCAAGCTTTAGTGTGCCCCTCAGCACGTAGTCCTGGACAGTAGAATGTGCCAGTCTGCAACACTTGATTAGAGTCAACTCCTTGTTCTGGCAGACCAAACAGGATCTTTCACTGAGTTGACGGTTCTTCAGGCGCAGTTGATGCTTGTCTCAGTGTGTGTCCCAGGGAACAGACCATTGAGCATGGAGTCCCACGTCACAGAGCTGCTTAGGATGAACCTCAACACAAACCACTGCATTTTTCTCCAGTCTTTCTTTGCAAAGGCACATTCCAAAAGGAGATCTGTGACAGTCTCAACTCCCCACAACGCTGCAGTCACTTCAAGGGCAGCGTGCGGTGGCACAGACCAGTTGAGCATACATAAAGGATCACACAGCTACTGCCCTTCTCACAAACAGCTAAGCAATGTCTTGGTACTTGCTAGGAAGTTCTGGGTTGTTAAAGGACAAATCAATTCAGTTCCAAGTCAGAGAGCAGGCTCAGGTAATGTTTTCATTGTATTCACTTATGCCTCCTCTAGCATGTCTTTGGTTTCTTTACTTATCCCATTTCCCCCTTTCCTTTAGACCAAGACAGCATAAGAAATAGGAGCAGGAGTAGGCCATTCAGCCCCTTGTGCCTGCTCTGCCATTTAATAGATCCATGGCCTTATATCACTGTTTATCATTTAAATCGTTCCTGCCTTCCACTGTCCTCATCCCTTGTCCTGTCCAACACCAACCATCTTTCCCAAACCGATCTGAAAGTTGAAGTGGGGCTTCTCATTCTGATACAAAAGCAGAAAATGCTGGAGAAACTCAGCAGGTCTTGCAGCAATTGTGAAGAGAGAAAAACAGACATAGCAAAGCTGTTCTGAAGCACAATCATACCAGACTTGAAATGTTTCATAGAATCCCTACAGTGTGGAAATAGGCCATTCGATCCATCAGGCCTACACCAACCTTCCAAAGATCATCACACTCAGACCCAATCCCCTACCTTCTAACCCTGCATTTCCCATGGCTAATCTACCTAGCTTGCACATTTCTGGACCTTACAGGGCAATTTAGCATGAATAATCCACCTAACCTGCACATCTTTGAACTGTGGGAGAAAACCCACACAGACATGGGGAGAACATGCAAACTCCGCACAGACAGTCACCAGAAGCTGGAATCAAACGTGAGTCCCTGGCACCGTGAGGCAGCAGTGCTAACCACTGAGCCACTGTGAAGTCCTTTCTTCATGGAATGCTGCCAGACCTGCTGAGTTTCTCCAGCATTCTCTGTGTATCCTTCAGATTTCCAGCAACTGCAGTCCATTGCTTTTGTATAACTTCTCCTTCTGATGTTACGCAATGAGCTGAATTGTTAACTTTGTCTCCCTACAAATATTTCTGAGCGTTTCCAGTGTTTTCTGCTTTTAAGTCCAGCTCTGCTTTGAAAAGCTTTGTACAAACACCAAGCACAACTAATACATAACTGGACTGTCCTTCACAGTCGAGGATTATTCCATACTTCCAAATAATAACCCAATATTTTTGCCAGGTGACAGTATTTGAGATGTTCGTCAGCTATCTCTATTTCTGTTGCCATTTAGTTTTCTCCCATTATGACCAGAAACTCGACTCTGACTCTTTCCCCCATGTCAACCAAATCTAGATGCCTCTCTGCAAAGATTCAGAAACTGACAATAACACCAGGAACCGCCTAGATAGGATTCTGAGCAATAGCTATAAATTTTCACACTGGTACAACAACTTGACGTGTGTTTCTGATCCCCTGAAAGATAAGCTAAGTCCTGACGGTTGATCTAAAAATGTGGCGGACACAGTGTTAGAGTGTGATATGCTAAGAACAGATTGCAGTAAGATGTGGTACTGACTGAGCTTGTGTTGCCACAACTTCCAGCTTTTATTTCAAATATCATGTTGCCTGAGGGATAAATGTTGGCCAATGTACAAGAAGAAGACTCCCACTTTTCTTCAAATAACTCACATCTAAATATGAGCAGAAGGTCATTTATATTAACATCTTTCTCAAAGTCAGTCGCACAGTGGTAAGCCATTACCTGTGTGAAATTAGACCTCTGAATGGCAGAATAATTCTAAAAGGCTAAATGGTCTCCTCCAAGAGTGGCCATGCATAGAAACATAGAACATAGGAGCAGGAGTAGGCCATTCAGCCCTTGAGCCTGCTCCGCCATTCAACATGATCATCCAACTCAGTCCCCTGTTCCTGCTTTCTCCCCAAACCCTTTGACCCCTTTAGCCCTAATTCCTTCTTGAAAATATTCAATGTTTTGATCTCAACCGTTTCTTGTGGCAGAGAATTCCACAGGCACACCACTGTCTGGGTGAAGACATTTCTCTTCATCTCAATCTTAAAAGGCCTACCTCATAGTCTTAGACTATGATCCCTAGTTCCAGACTATCCAGTCATCGGGAATATCTTTTGTGCGTTTACCTGATCCAGTCCTGTTAGAATTTTATAGATTTTCATGGGATGGCCACCCACCCTCATTCTTCTGCAGTCTCAGTGAATGTAGTCCAAACAGAACCGATCTGTCTTCAAATATCAGTTCTGTCATTCCAGAAATCAGTCCGGTTCAACACATAATTGTACAAGTCAGTCTGGTTTTTAAGCTGTTCCCTCCCAGATTCTTTTAGGTTCATTATTTTGTGCATGATTGGTAGTGGGGAACTGGCCGTGCATATTCTATTGCTCTCAGCGGCAGCTTCAAAGCAAGTGTTTCTTGTGCTAAGGAATGGGAATGGCCCATTTATCCCATCAAACTTCCATTCCTCTTCAGCCAGTCTTAAAATCTGCCTGCTATTCGATCACTTTTGTCGAGTTATCACATGTAAATAGGAACAGAAGCCAAATAGGTGGCACAGTAGCTCAGTGTAGCACTGCTGTCTCACAGCACTAATGACTTGAGTTTGATTCTACCCTTGGGTGATTGTCTGTGTGGAGTTTGCATGTTTTCCCTGTGTCTGTGTGGGTTTCTTTCAGGTGTTCCAGCTTCCGCCCACAGTCCAAAGATGTGCAGGTTAGATGGGTTGGCCATGCTAAACTGCCCATCGTGTCCAGAGATGTGTAGGCTGCGTGGGTTTGCCCCAGGAAATGCAGGGATATGGTATGGGCCTGGGTAAGATGATGTTTTGAGGATTGGTGTGGACTCAATGGGCTATAGGATCCCTGCAGTGTGGAAGCAGGCCAATGAAAAATTGTCTCACAGATACATTTGGAAGTCAACTAATACTTCCGCAAGTGCATCCTTGTAACATAAGGAGGAGGAAGAGGAGAAGACATAGGCAAAGGTAACTTTGGGCATTAGTTTGCAAATGAATATTTTTTTGCTCTTGCTCTATGTACTTGAATGAGAATGGTAGAACTCTACATTGTAGAGGTAGCATTTGGGCTGTGAGATTCAGCCTATATTGTCCATTAGTATCAAAATAACTTTGCTGCCATCAACCTCCACTACTGGGAGCATTGCCAACGTTAAGTTCTGCTTGTTACATGTCATTTCTTGCTCATTACAATGAGGAGTGGTGTGGTTTCTTGTGCTGTCATATTTAATTAGTGTCACAGGACATTTTCTTTATTAAGAAAAAGTTCAACAATACAATTGCGAACACCAACCTTTTAAAACAATGGCATTGTTTAGAATGGTGACTAAATCAATCGAGATTTCAAGCTAAGTCTCTGCTTTTGGTAAATAAGCACTGTTGTTGATGAGTTTTTTTTTTAAATTTACATTGCAATGTTTACCCTCTCGTAGTTCAAGCTAGTTGAACTGTTTTCTAGTTACCCAAAGTCCACCCACCCACTTCTAAGTATCATTTTTAAACAACTATGCAATAATCCTCAAATCTGCCAGAGGATATTTTAATCTTGCTTTTGTACACCTACATGTCTGTAATTCTTGCATGGTTAGCCCTGTTTTGTTTAACTTGGCTGTCAGCCCAAACTCAGTGACATCACCTGCTATTTCATCATTTCAGATTAGTACACAAGTATAAAATGCAGTGAAGTCAGAAGTCAGATTTGCAAGGAAAATAATCGCTACTGACTGCATTTGAATTCTAACTCAAAACATTCTCATCAGGGAGGGCTCTGAGGCTGTGTTAAGCAGCAGCTGGCCTCCTACTTGCTACAGTTAAGCGACTGACACAGGCTCTGCTTATTTTGAGTCAATTTAACTGTACTATTATTGCTTTGAGGCATACTGGACTCTTATCTTTGAAACTTAGCATGTGAGGCGCTGCCTATTCTTGCGACTTCCTTGCCTGCAGTGTGAAATAGTGTTTCCTACTGACATAAAAGCTTAGTTTCGCCTTGGCAGAGCGAAAGATCTGTCCAACTGTGTAGAATATTCTTGTTGCTTTGACTGAAGGTATGCAGTAGCAGAGGAGGATCATTTTGTGAAAAAAATGGACCGTTCACAGTTGGAAAGGTAAGCACAGTGCTTAGTGTGTTTGTGTGAATCATTCCTCATCATTCCTTTTGTTAAAGTGTATGCTTTAATATTTCGTCTTGTGTATTTGAAATTAGCAATTCATTAAAAAAAAAGCCTAACAAACCTGAGTGAAATAAAAATGCAAGGAAATTGCACCAGCTTCTGTGCGCATTCAGTTATAAATGTTTTCCTGTAAATCCTATAGTTGCCTGAAAATGAATGACTTGAAGTTATTTTAAACTGTAAAAGTAGCTAGAATAATAATCCACAAAATTGTTGCAGGCTACAATGGAATTGGCAGAATTGCACAGAAATGCATTTCATAAATTAAGGTCTCTCTCGTGTACAAACGATTATAAAAGATCTTGAAATGCGGTAGTATGATTAAGAGCTAGTCTCATTTGCATAGCCCTTATTATTTAAGATTTGCTCTCAACATCTTTCTAAACTATTAACAGTGCCAAGCCTAATCCCTCTACTCCCTTCTGAATTCAAATATCAATCCATTTCCTTTTTTTTTTAAGCACGATCCAAGCCTGGATTCACTTGCTGGGTTGCAATCTATTCCAACAATGATTAGCAATGTGAAACGGTTGCCCCTCACATTATCCTAAACAGACAATTGTAGCTCCTAAATCAAAAAAGAAGTTGCTGGAAAAGCTCAGCAGGTCTGACAGCATCTGTGGAGAGAAATCCACTGGACCCGAAACATTAACTCTGCTTTCTCTCCAAAGATGCTGCCAGATCTGCTAAGCTTTTCTCGCAATTTTGGTTTTTGTTTCTGATTTCCAGCATCTGCAGTTCCTTCAGTTTTTAATCATAGCTTCTGATCATAAACAAAGAACTTCTACATGGGCTACAGCACAAATAACTTCTTGATTTCAAAAGTTTGGATAATATTACCATCCTAAACGACTGCCTACAGTGAAATATGTAGTGCTATTACACACAGTTCAGGGAAATGAAGGTAACTTTAATGCCAGAATTCCCAGAGTTAGAAAACTCAGTGGTTTGAAGATAAATAATGTTCCAGATATTGCTGTCAAAATATCAGCTAGTGGGACTTGTCATTATTTAAACATAAGAGGCACAGCAAGTTCAGGCAAGGGGCAGGTGCCCCTGCTCAATAGTTGCTGCCAGAATTGCACCATTTCACTATTAGCTTTGCAAATATAACTTATCATTGTCTACCTCACCACTGAACGGTGTGAAGTCCACAGCTATTACAGGATAATTACATCATGGAGGGTTAAGTGCGGTAATTAAGAGCAGAAGTACCCTTTTAGTAATGTGGCAACCAACAATTACTTTCCAACAACCTCTCTGGCACTGAAAATTACCTGGTAAAATTGTATAATTTAATTTCTTCATGTGTTAATTGCAACTGGAAATTATTTTAAAAGGTTAAAATCTTACGTCTCTTTTCTCTTGATCTAATTGTGTTTATGTGCTTTTTTCTATACCTGATTTGCCGTTAAATTAATGCACTGTAATTTATGCTTCTTCCTCAGTCCTTGTTCAGTTTCTTTCTCAATCTTTCAGTTTGATTGATTAAAGGGATCTACTTTTTCTGAGACCCCAGATACCCATTCCCTTTTCTGCTTCGTTACCAGCTCAGATTCAGCAACTTGTCATGCAAGAAATCCGAGAGCCTGAACAAGCAGACACAAGTCTAGCTAATAGTAGATGACATTAAGGACCTTGCTGCAGTTAATTTTGCACCAAATTTGTTTCAGAAAGCTGTCTGTGCCACTTGAATCACAACTTAACATAAGAAAGCTAGGAAATTAACTTAGCCCCCAAATAGAAATCAGAGTGAATTTAAAAGGCATGATGGTCAAGTAAAGATGCATCAATGCAGCCAGATTTCACCAATTTATTCTCTTCATCTGAAGAGTTTACTGGGGTTAGGGCCCTTGTGACAGAATGGTAGTGTCCCTACCTCTGGTCTGGGTTCAAGTGTAATACTTGCTGAACAGGTGAATTGGAAAATATCTGATGTTTACTGGAGTACAATACTGAACACCCATTGATACCTCACCAAGTGATTATTACCTATGTTGAAAATTACTCTCCAAAGTTTCCGGGGTCCTGTGGGATCATAGCTTTAATTCTTAGAACTGCAGAATTGGTACAGAGGGGGTCATTTGGCCATCAAGTCCATGCTAGCTCTTTATGGAACAATCCAATCTAATCATATTCCACTGTCTCATCACCCTAGCCCTGTAAGATGGTTGCCTCAGGAGAATTCACTCTTTAATAGTGCTCTGGGCGTATCTCCACTTACAAGTTGACTGCAGCGGTTCAAGAAGACTCACCACCCCTTCTCAATGGCATTTATGGATGAGCAACAAATGTTGGCCTAGCCAGCATCACTCACATCCCATGAAAGAAAAAACCTATCCAATTTTTTTCAGGAAGTATTTTTTTCACACCGTACCACATATAGATCCTTTTAACTTCTTGAAGACCTGCTGGATCATCCCCTAAGTAAATATGGCATCTTTTCCCATTCCTTCACTCTTTAGCCAGACCAAAACCAGCGATCTAGAAGGAGGCAAGTTAAAAGAAGAAAAAATATATGCTGGCTATGCAATACATTTGAGCAGTGTGATAGAAGTTGAATATGCTGAATGCAACAGACAAAAGAGGAAGTGTATCTGAAGAGGTAATTGTTCCTACTAAGTCATTCTGCTTCCTCTTCAGATTCTGAGTGAAGCAAGAACTAGCAGAACACATCTAAAAGCTGTGGTAAGTTCAACTTTGTTCTTACATTTAGAAGAAATTGCAAAATTTTTAATGTACTCTGGCTAAGATGTTTAAGACAATAATTAACACTGATGTATATGTAATTGCATTGAGAGAAAATTGCTAACTTCATTCAACTCTGGCTAAAATATCAAAGAGAATAATTAGCACCAGCGTATATATAAATGCAACTAGAAAAGATCCCTTGAATTATTGAACTCTAGCTAAGATGTCCAAGAGAATAATTAGCACTGATGTATATATAAATGCTTTAAAATGGATTGGAATAATTTGATGCAACTTAGAAATTAATAGTAACCTGGGGTGATACTGACCTGCCTTTATGCTCAAGCACAATAGTGACACCTAGAGGTTAAGCACTATTTCTGAGGAAATGAAACATTCAAGGATCCTCCCCGTTATCTCAATTCTTATTCAGAGACCAGCCAAGTCAGAAATATTAGCATTACTATGATCTCCAAGTTAGTTATTGCAACTGAAGCAATCGGCTCTCAAGGGCAATAAATGCTGGCCCAGCCAGCGATACCCATGAATCACAAGTGAATAAAACACTATTTTAGAAAAGGTTGTCGAAATAGCATAGGATTCCCACACTTAGGATAAGAAAAACAAATGTTCGAAGCTAGAGATAGCAGGAACTGCAGATACTGGAGAATCTGAGATAACAAGGTGTAGAGCTGGATGAACACAGCAGGCCAAGCAGCATCAGAGGAGCAGGAAGGCTGACGTTTCGGGCCTAGACCCTTCTTCAGAAAAAGGGTCTGAA